GCCTCAGCGTCGTTGGTACTGGGCGGAGTATTCCTCTTGGTGTTCAATACATGGGCAGCCATGGTGGATAAAGTACAGGGAACCGGCCACTATTTTAACTCAAACAAACACAGAGGTGGAGATCAAGCCACAGACTCTCTACTGCAGAATTTACATACTCGAGGTGCGCCTGACGTCGACGAGAGGAGAGATAGTGGGGCCATTGCAGCGCCAGAATCATCTTTAAAACCTCCGCCACCACCGAGACTTTTGTTCATCCGACTCATGGTAGCCGTGTATTTGTTGCAAATGGGTATGTTTCTTTTTGCGAGACAAGACCCGAGAAGTAAAATTCGACGCAGTTTACTGCTCGTGGCCACGGTGTTGCTGATATGCTGTTGGGCCGCGTGTGTGGTTTTATTACCCGCCTATGGAGAAAAAATGTGTGCATTGCTGGATAAAGTGGCCGAGGATGTGTCGCACCGCAAGAGGAATATCCGACGTATTGCCGTTATAGCGGCGGTGTTTTGCCTCATGCACACAGCGTCATCTATGCTTCTGGCAGCGTCGCAATGCACTCCACCGTCAGATGAAGCATCGAGCTCAATCGTAGGGAACACGACACATCCGAGTGGTGTTCACTTGCCGCACATTCCGCTTCACCACATTGTACAAGCCAACCCAGCCTTCTTCTTCCCGTCGGGTACAGCAGAGGATGGAGCGGCAGATACTAACGATGGATTACTCCGTTGGGTCGTAATGATCGAAGTGCTAGAGTTCCCAATTGAATGGGCAATGCTGATGGCGCTACTGTGCGTGTTACCCACGCGCTCTTCACTTCCAGCATTCAGAGGCTATCGACCAATTCCAGAGAGAAAAAACTGGCAACCCTAAAAAAAAACTAGAATATACTTTAGGAAATCGAATTTATATAAACGCTACTTTTATTAATTTCAATAAAAAAATGATTCTTACAGCAAGCGAGCTAAAGCTGAGCCAGGTTTCCCTTTGAAGACGAGATGGTCTACCAATGCGCATGCGTCTGTTTTCACCGTGAATGACCTCGTTGGGACGGGCAGGAATTGTTTTTTGGCGGAGCTGTACTTGAAAAACTGGGAAATCATTTCACTGCTTTCAAGTTTTAGCGGTGCTCTTGATGAATTACTTGGCAACAACGAGAAAATCCGAGTGGCGAAGTCTCGATCCACGTGGTTTTCGTATAGTGCACGGAATTTGAGTTCCTTCGCCGATTTAAGTAGAACAATGAAGTTGTCACAAGGGGATTCGGCTAGAGCTTGAAGAGCTAATGTGCGCTCTCTCTCCATCGACCCACCAGCTAGAAGTGTAAATTCCAGAGCGTTCTGCATTAGCTGCCGGTTTGATGCCTTCTTCGTGTAGTTTGCGTTGCTGAATGAGAGTGGTCGATGCACTTGTCGTTGTAGTTTTTCTTTTTGTTGAAGCGACGAATCCCGAGCTTGTTGTAACCTTTGAAGCTTCTTCTGTCGAAGCTCTTTGAGCCGCTCTTCTCGAGACTTTGCGGATGTTGTGGCAGTTTTCTCTTCACCTAGGGCAATGAACGTCGCGACAGAAGCTGGTGTAGTCACGGCAAGG